AAGTAATCTAATTTTTAAGTAATTCCCTAATGGTCCAATATATTCACATGCTTGAAAACACTTTCATAAACACTAAAGAGTATACAAATACTTATTAAGAATCAGATTACCATTTTATATAGTTATTGGAAAAATCAAACGAGATAGTCAAATCCTAAAACACCACACCTTCTCGTCATTTTATTCCAGATAGATATAACTTATACCGTATAAGGCACTTCACATTAATTAAGTACTTCAGTGAGTAATAAATTTATAAGCTCCAAATTATTATAGAATAAAAGGCTCAAGGATAAAGTTTTAAAATCGAAGCAATTAGAGTACAAAAAAATCTAACATGGATAGCAACCTTTGGGCACTATGTTTCCTCTTCCATTACTAAAAAGATACAAATCCAAGAAAAATTTAGTATGAAATGATATGTACTAAAAAATCCCACTAATGGAAGTCATTGATTATATTCACATATTACGGCTTTTGTCTTTATACTACAAGTCTACTATACAGAAATTGTTAATTGATACTATTTTGATTATTTCTCAGATGACATAAATTGACAAATGTTATTGTTTTTTTGTTGGTCACAAACAAATGTTTTTGTTTTCTTTCAGTGTAATTGTTTATCTATAGTATGATACACTGCAATAGTAACTGTTTTTTACATCTAAACATTGTAGATTTTGACACTCACATAATACATAGATCAGGGCGTTTAAAATATGCGCAGTAGCAAACAGAAATCAGTATGTAGTGTTATTTCTCAAATTAAAATTCTAAAACCAATAAAGCAAAAAAAAAACAGAAAAGAGTAAAGCAAACTTTGGAGCACATGTGTATGCTAAACTAATGTTTAATTTTATATTATCCAACATATATATATTCGAAATCTTTTGTCACGTTATTTTGGATAATTTTATATTATCCAACATATATAGATTGTGTTGTGAATTGTTTTGAACAATTTGTTTAAAATAAATTGAAGTAGCAAAAAGAAATTAAAATCAGTGTCCGTGTGCTTTGATTTAACCTGCAAGGAAGGGATTAGATAGACAACCAATACGAACACGCATCACGAGCTTTCTAATCCCTTCGATCACTCTGGAAACGCCACGTGGACAAATCTAGCCACTTAGAGTCAGAACTTGCCATGTGGGCACGTGCGATTCCCGCAGCTCTAACATCCATGACTCCATGTGATCATTTTATCAGATATATATTTTTTTCTTTTTGAAATATATCTTAAATTCTTATAAAGTTTTTTCTTTTCTGTTATTACATCATATTCAAAATAATTTGATTTGAATCATTCTGTTAGAAAAAAAAAATATTTTATTAATCATGATGACGACGGATAAATCTAATTTTTTCTAATAATTGGAAACATAATAAGTAATTATATGGACGCTACAAAGAATATCGGCACCACAAAATCGACGAACAAAAATTCTAAATATATAACGTATTAACGTTCACAATGAATAACTCTACTTTTAATATACATGGCGAAACAACTATGTTTACACATGCAACCTGACCCGATGGATCTATTGACTCCATTGGGCAAAAGAATCCTTCGAGAAAGACCGGTTAAATCATCCACAAAGGCTAAAAAGATGCAAACGCATTTCGAATCAGCTTCGCGTGGAAATCGAAATCGTGGTAAAAGAAGTCGTGGCTAAAATCGAAGCGGAAGATTCGATTTACTATATATTTTCATTGTTAAAAATTTGACTTTACGTTTAGTGTAATCTGCTCTTAAAAACTATGACGGTAAAATTTTCTTGATAAAATATATATTTAGAAAGAAAAAAAACTACGTTTATACGCTTCAAAGTCCATATTGTAAATAATTATACGTAAGATTGATTTTTTGTTTTTATAATATACTCCTATTTATGTCATACGCACCAAGTCGTTGTTATGATAAGTACATTAATGGACGGAGTAGGTCTTAGTTAACCAATATCTTCTAAAGCCAAAAGATAGGCACGTAT